CAGATTATATTAAATTAATCTCTTTCCTACACACACTACCTCGTTATGACAAAGTGAAAAAAGATTTGAGATTTTATGAAGTTAATTAAAAATAGAAATCTAATAAATCACATGCACGTAAGTGTTCACAGCCTTTGTTTAATACTTTGTTGATCCACCTCTGGCATCAGTCGTGTCCTCCAGTGTTCTTGAAGATGATGTCACGAGCTGAGCACACCTGTCTTTAGACAGTTTGTCCCATTCTTCTGTGCAGAACTTCTCAAGCTCCAGCAGGTTGGATGGAGACATCTGTGCAGTCATTTTCAGATGTTTCCAGAGATGTTCAATCAGATGGATTCTGTCTTGGCACTGCCAGGACCTTCACAGAGTGGTCCGGAAGCCCCTCCAGGACCTTCACAGAGTGGTCCAGAGTGCTCTGGAGCAGGTTTTCATCCAGGATGTCTCTGTACATTTCTGCATTCATCTTCTATCCTGACAGTTCCTGCTGCTGAAGAACATCCCCACAGCATGATGCAGCCACCACCATGCTTCACTGTAGGGATGGTGTTGGCCTGGGATGAGCTGGTTTCCTCCAAACATGACACCTGACCTCACACAAAGAGTTCAATCTTTGTCTCATCAGACCAGAGAAGGTTGTTCCTCCTGGTCTGAGACCTTCAGGAGCCTTTTGTCAAACTCCAGACGGGCTGCCATGACTTTAGTCTGGCCACTCCACCATACAGCCCTGATTGGTGGATTGCTGCAGAGATGATTGTCCTCTTGGAAGGTTCTCCTCTCTGCACAGAGGAACGCTGAAGCTCTGACAGAGTGACCATCAGGTTCTTGGTCACCTCCCTGACTAAGGCCCTTCTCCCCCGATCGCACCGGCTCTATGAAGAGTCCTGATGGTTCTAAACTTCTTCCATCTATGAGTGATGGAGGCCACTGTGCTCATCAGGACTTTCAAAGCAGCAGAAGATTTCTGCATGGTTCCCCAGATGTGTTCCTCAGCACAATCTGGTCTCAGAGGTCTACAGACCTTGGACTTCATGCTTGATGTTTGTGCTGTGGGACCTTCTATAGACAGGTGTGCGTCTTTCCACATCAAGTCCAATCAGCTGAAGTTACCACAGGTGGACTCCATTTAAGCTGTAGAAACATCTCAAGGATGATTAGTGGAACATCTGAGCTCAATCTGAGCTTCATGGCAAAGGCTGTGAATACTTACGTAAATGTGATTTCTTATTGTTCGATTGTTAATACATTTGCTAAAATGTCACATTGTTTCACTTTGTCACAACGAGTGTGTAGAACTCTGAGGAAGAGGTTCGGTAGTTTGGAAAAAGGTTGGAACAAAGAAAATGTGGAAAAGGTGAAGCTCTGTGAAGACTTCTGGATGTTCTGTACATCCCGAGAGTTTCATTTAAACAATTCAGTGGTTCATTAAATATTTCGCTGACAGAGGAACGGCTCAGCATGCCGAAACGTTAGCAGCTGCAGTGAATGTTGGAGATGACTCCCAGTTACTACCGCAGCAAATGTTGCTACATTATCAGCAACACCGACTGATTTGAAGCCATTTTTGTAATTTTCAAGGTTTGATAGTCGTGGCCATCTTAAATCAAATTGTTTTAATTGTTAGTTATTTGCAAGTTTACATCCAGTGAGTACCTTCTGCAGGTTTTGATCAAATCTGTGCAGTGGTGCATCAGATCTTCTGCCAACCAACAGACAAAAACATCTTTGGATGATGGGACGATAGTTATTTAGTTTTTTTACCTTCTATTGAACATGAAATTATTCTTTCAAGTGTTTAAGTGGAAGAACGTGTCATTTAGTTAACAAATTAAAAATTCAAGTCTGCTCTTTCCCAGATGTGTAAAGGCCCTCGTGTGATCAGCTCCTCTGTAGATACGGCTGATGCTGACCTGCTCGGCATGCTGGGAGCTGATTGCCTGGGTCGTCTCAAGCGTCTGGAAGAACGTCTCGTTCAGCCTCAAGGAGTTGTTGGACCATGTCCTCCTCCTTCTTTTCCTGGTCACCAAGAGTTCTTCAAGGACTTTATACAGGCAGCCAGCTGGTGAGACAAAACATCAGTTTTTTTTCATTCGTTCAACCTTTATTTCTACAAGTTGGTCTCATTGAGGCACGAGGACTCGTTTACAACAGACACCTGATTTTAACAAAGAACTAAAGAGGAACTAACAAGAGTAGACAATCATGAAAACGCTTATAAAATGATCTCTCTCTATGGGGAGCACAAGCCAGTGTATCTCGTGCTGGTCCCAAGCCTGGGCACTTGTTGAGGGTTGTGTCGGGAACGGCATCTCATGTTACAGAATTTTGCCAAAACTAACATCTGAGTTCATCTAAACAGCACCATACCGGATCGGTCAAGGCCCGGGTTAACGACGACCGCCACCGGTGCTGTTGACAAACAGGGTGCCGGTTGAAATTGTGCTTCTGTTAGTTGAAGACCACGAGGAGGGAAACATGTCAGGAGACAGAGGGAGAAGAGGAAAGTGAAGAATTTAGGACTGAGGACTTCCGGCTGAATGGCGGTGGAGTAAGTTGTGTCTTGGTGTGCTCCTGCGGGGTTGGCTTTTTTTTTTCGATTATTACCTGGCACTTTTTCTTGACTTCGACCTCAAACGATAATTAATCTTTATATTGAACACTATCTTTTTTTGTTTGGTCACTAAAATGCCACCAAAGCCTGCTAAAGGAGGAAATTTGATCCAGTCTCACCTGCGGCCTGCTCCTCGACCTGTGCCGAGTCATCTCCTGTGTCAGAGGCAGCGGCCCAGGCCGCTACAGTTAGCGATGCCAGCAATCTAAAAAGGAGCTACTTGCGGCTCTTAGGGATGACTTTACAGCTACACTCAAAGTGGAGTTTCATGCTGTTCTTGGTGAAAGTCTCTCTTCGATTAAGTCCGAGCTGCTGTCCTTCAAAAAGGAACTGTCCTCTGGTCTATCCGCGGTGCAGGAGAGTTTTACGGGGCTAAACGTAACGGTTGCTGAGATGGAGAGATCCCTATCCACCTGCACTGATGACATTGTTAGCCTCCAGAAAAAAGTGGACAGCCTTACTAAAACTGTTGCACAGTTGGAGGATAAATGCGATGACTTGGAGTCCCGGTCCCGGCGTCAGAACATCCGCATCATTGGTGTCCCGGAGCATGACCCTTTATCGGCTTCGACGGCTGCGGTCTCTCGGTTGCTAAAGGAGGCTTTTGGTCTCGCGGAGGAGCCGCTGCTGGACCGCGCTCACCGTATCCGAATCCCTAAACCCAAGGCAGATGAGCGCCCTCGCCCCATCGTAGCTAAGCTACATTATTACACTGACTGTCAAAATCCTGTCGAAGGCAAGGGAGCTGCAGCGGATCAAGGTGAACGGTATGACCATCTTCGTTTGCCCTGATTGTACTGCCAAAACGGCGCGGGCAGCCTTCACGGATTGCCGTCGCCGGCTCCGTGGCATTGAGGGGGTCCGGTTCGGTTTGCTCCATCCGGCCCGGTTGCGAATCACCCATGATGGATCTACACGGGTCTTCACCTCTCCTGAGGAGGCTAATGGCTACACCGGATCGATTGTCAAGTGAGAACTATAACTAGAAGAATTTGTTTCATAAGGGGGAAGCAAGTTTAAAAAAAAAAACAGACTGTTTTGAAATAGTTGCTGCTTACTTGTGTAATTCAAATTATGTTCTCCGCAGGTGTTCTTGGTTTCCTAAAATAGTGCCTATTGTATATTTTAATTTTCTCTCTATGTTGCTAGTTCTACAGGAGTCGCCTAGCACTTGGGTGTTTTTCTTTTTGTTGCGCTGTTTGGCTGTAAGGATAAGTTTCCTAGTGGCTCCTGTTGGAGTCTGCACGGTTCCTTCGTTTGGGGAAGGACAGAGTGCAAGCAGGGGCTGGGAAAAATGGTTGTGTATGTTTATGCTTTCTTTCTTTTTTTTATTTTTAATTTTAATTTTTTTCCTCTCTATTTCTACTTCTGGTGCGGGGGGGGGGGGGGGGCTGCAATATCTTTCAACTTCTGTTGTAAACAACTGGTCACATGTCCATTGATTTGAAAGCTTCCTCAACATCGTCTGCTGTTAGATTCCTAAGTTGGAATGTTAAAGGTCTTAACAATCCTGTGAAGCGATCTAAATTAAATTCTCATGTGAAACGTCTAGATCCTGACGTAGTACAGGTCCTTCTCAAAAAATGAGCATATTGTGATAAAGGTCATTATTTTCCATAATGTAATGATAAAAATGAAACTTTCATATATTTCAGATTCATTGCACACCAACTGAAATATTTCAGGTCTTTAATTGTTTTAATACTGATGATTATGGCATACAGCTCATGAAAACCCAAAATGCCTGTCCCAAAAAATTAGCATATTTCATCCCACCAATGAAAGACAAGTGTTTTTAATACAAAAAACACCAACCTTCAAATAATCATGTTCAGTTATGCACTCAATACTTGGTCGGGAATCCTTTTGCATGAATGACTGCTTCAATGCGGCGTGGCATGGAGGCAATCAGCCTGTGGCACTGCTGAGGTGTTATGGAGGCCCAGGATGCTTCGATAGCGGCCTTAAGCTCATCCAGAGTGTTGGGTCTTG